GTCGTTTATTATTATTATTATTATTATTATTATTATTATTATGATTATTATTATTATTATTATTATTGTTATTATTATTATTATTTCTATTATTTTGGCAGTATAAATTTAGGTAAAATCCTTATGGACCATACCGAGGGGAGTGTGATGGCGGTTCACAAGTGCTATCCGCGTATTCACTCTTTCTGCCGTCTAGCCAGATGCACTGATCATGTCAGATCGGGCTATTTTAGGCTATCTGACGCTTGATCGCAAGGAACCTCCAGATCAACAAAGCCCACCTGACTACCCAAAACCTGCTTTACTTTCGTCGAACGATAAACTTGCCCGAGAACGAGTAATAATATCTACCATCGTCTACTTTTTATCGGGAAACTACGTTAGCATTACTTTTTGGTGGAAAAAATCGTGTCGTGATTTCTATTTGCCGTCTTGTCTTGTATCTCGTTTATTATATTATTTAACAGCATACATTCTTTCGTTCATTCGTTCATACATTTCTACACTTGCATACGCGTTTCTATTATTTAACGAGCAGGTCTATCGGAATTACTTCCGCTACCTCAAGAACGGTTTCAGCTGAATATTCTATGGACGCAGAAAATCCTTAATGCTCCCTGTTTCTGTATATTTGTCAGTCATTTGCTGTACGAAAAATTAAATTAAAAAATTAAATTTAAAAATTACGTATTTCTCGATATCCAGCAAGTCAACCTACGCTTCTGCCGCATAAAGCACGATCAAGTAAGCCGTAAACATCAGTAGTCGTCTGTTCTATTGTCTTGATACAAATTTGTTTGTCAAAAGGCGGCTGAGAACGCTACCTGTCTATTAGTATTCCATTTGTTGTTCTCGCGTTCGTAAGTCTCGGTTTCAGTAGCGCTTCATACAGTTTATCTACTGTGTTTAGAAGATTCAGAGACCTATAGGAAGAAAGTTCATTCGATTTTCCGTTTTCTTTATGCAGAAGAATCAGTCTGATCGTCTTCTATCGCTTGGAGAAAATGTTAGTCCGCAAGTTTGCGTTATACATGTCCAAGAAAAGTCCTGACCGTGCACCCGCAACCTGTCGGAGGATCTTCTCCGATATACTGTTTAATCATGGTGCCTTACCAGACGAAGTTCACACGTGTGGATGCAGCACGTGTGAACTTTGCCTCTGTAAACTTTGGCGCTGTCAGCTCCTTATCATCCATGATATCTTCTTTTATTGGTTAGTTAGAAAAGAACTGGCCTACTATTGAGCTCATGGTTTTCTGTCTTTGAGCTTCGAAGGGCTTAAGTATTCTAGTTTCTTTGTTACAATCTTGTAACCTAGTCCCCAGGGGTTTCCGTTCCACATCTTCGTATAGTTCACTTGCGCATAAATATTTGCTGTCTCTGATTGGAGTGGCAGTGTCTTTAGTGCCGTTTTATAAGCACTCGCTAGTCTATCCGCGTCGGGGCTCTCCCTTTTCCTATTATGATATACTCTTCTGTCGCAGGCAATACACTCCCTCCGGAGGAGTTCCATCTCGTCCGTCCACTAGTACATTGCCTTTTTTTCCACTCTGTCCTTACGTCGGCTTATGGTGGCATCGTATAGGAGAGTTATTAATTCCATCGTCTTATCTATTATCCAATCGGTTTGTTTCCTCGCTCCGATCTCTGCTGAGACAGCTTCAATGGGTGCCTTTGTATTAATTCCTGTAGTAGTTCTTCGAAGTGCTCTTTATCTTGTCTCAATACGTTCCAGTACTTTGCGTCCTGTCTTTGGTCTGTCCGTTACATTAAGTTTTTGCTTGATCCGTCACCTTAAAGAAGATGTGCTAATAATCGTTGGTTGTGTATACTAGCGTCTGAATCTTGGTTGGTCACTTTCAGATCCAGCCTTGTGATTGTCCGTCGTTAAAATACTTCACTCGATCACCCTTGAATTCATATCATCCGCAACGACAAGATCTTCCAGTAGGTCTCTAATGAAATCCTCCAACTTACAGATTTTTTATTCGAACACCTCCATTGTGTAATTTAGAGTCAGAAATTAGCTAACGTATGTGATAGTGTCCATCTTTATCCACATGTAATCCCCCTCTTGTAGATATCTGTATTCTTCTTGCCGGTTGTTCCCTTATCTATATGATCGACATGCCAGAAATATTTTAAAACCAACCATCCGCTCAGTATCAGTCAGTCCGCGTTTTGTTTTTTCGCTGTTTATGAGACCAGGAACTAGGCAGTCTCACATCTGCGTAAGTTAGCTTGTATTATTACTGTCATTGTGGGTTTGATTCCGACACTCTAACAAGCCGCACTTCCAATAGCACTATCCTCTGTTGCATCCTTAGCAGTCCACTCGTCTTTATCCATATCTAAAATGCCGATGGCATCTCGGAGCTGCCAGTCTTTCTCTGACCCAGCAGCAGGTCCAGCCAATTTTGATTCTGCCCTTCCTCGAGCTGAGTTTCTGTACACTTCGCATACTTCCATGTAGATGTCGCTATTGTTCAAACCAAACATGTAGATCTTAAAGTTCATGTCTAGTCCTGTTTCTCATTTGAATGAGTCATTGACGTAATTTGTATCTGTAATGCAGTCTACGTCCATAATCTCTAGTCTGTCTATGCATCAAATCCTATTCTGCCTCTCTGTTGTGCCGCTGCGGAAGCGCATTAGAAGTCCCCCGTCTTTTATAGTATGGTATCCCGAAATGTTTACTTTAGAGCTCTCGGAATTAATCCCTACATTAAGTCGATATAGCACGTCTGCATACGTCTTCCCGTCCTTTGATCTGATCAGGATAGTGTTGGTTCCGCCTTTTCAGGAGGATCTTTTTGAATTTTTTAAGCGGCATGTCGAAATTGACGTGATTATTGTAAAGCCGCTTGATATTTTCGTAATATTATTGAAATGCGAGAGTGGGTCGATAAGTCCTTAGAAAAAGATAGCAAAACAATTTTTTTTTGGTAGTTTTTTTTTATTTTTCAACATAATCTCCTTTTATTTCGATACACTTTTCCAGGCCTTCTTCAAGTTTTTTAAGCCATCAGAAAAAAATATTTTAGAAGTTCCTCAAAATAGCCATTTGTTTGTGTTATGACCTTCTTGTTTGAGATGAATCGTTGTGCGTCAAGCCACTTTTTTAGGTTTGGGAATAAAAAAAATTACTAGGGGCAAAATCTGGTGAATACGGTGGATAGTCTACTAATTCGAACTTCAATTCCTTAATTTTAGCCATTAAAACTAAGCAAGTATGCACTCGTGCATTGTCTTGATGAAACAGAATTTTTGTTAGTTCAAATGAGGACGTTTTTCCTTTATTTTATTGCTTAAACAGTCCAACAACACGCATAATACTCTTCGGTGATTGTCCTTTTTTTAAATAGTCGACGAAAATAATTCCACGTGCATCCCAAAAAACAGTGGCCATAACAGTCTTCGCCTTTGGAGCTGGTTGACCTTTCACAATCCACTGTTTTGACTGTTCCTTTGTCTCAGAAGTTTAGTGGTGTATCCACGTTTCGTCTACAGTTATGAATCAACGCAGAAAGTTGTGCGGATTACGGTGGATGAGTGCCAAAAGGGCCTCAGCGGCCATCACTCGACTGCGTCTGTTTTCGACTGAGAGCAAACGCGACACCCATCTTGTCGAAATTTTTCTCATGTCCAATTTCTTATATAAAATCGAAATGACTGTACCTTTTGAAACCCCTGTGGCTTCATTTATTTCGCGAAATTTTATTCTTTGGTCACTCAACACCATGTCATGGATTTTATTGATCATTTCTGGAGTGCTCACGTCTACAGGAAGGCTTGAACGATGTTCATCTGAATTCGATGTACGAACATGTTTAAATTAATTTATCCAATTGTAAACAGTTGCAAAAACAGGAGAAGATATATCATGAACTGCATCTAACTCAGCTTTGATTTCTTTCGGTATAAAGCTTTTTAAATAGAAATTTTTTATCACCGGTCGGAACTTACTTTTTTCCATTGTTAACAAGAAACAAAAGTTGTTCACTTTGTTCGACGATAAATATGAAACTACTCGATGGATCTGGCTGAAACTTGGGTAGCATTCTATTTAATAATGACGCTTGCTGGTGCAACATAAGTTGGGATACTTTGAGCGCCATCTTTTGAATTTTCTAAGGATTTATTGACCCACCCTCGTAATACTAGTATATTTATATTATTTCTGAAATGATGCTTCAGAATACCGGAATGTGATTAACAAAGATACAAACTATCCTTTTTTCTATGTTTTCTCATACAGTAGAATGGTTTTACGTTATCTTACTTCTTAGTGGCTACATCGTCAAAAATGATTATAGATTTTAGCTAAGCATTATCAGGCTTAATACCTTATGCTCTGAGGCAAATGTCTTATTCTCGTGGAAAGTTTGATACACTATCCATGAATAAGCTTCAATAAATCTTTAAAAAATGTGTATTTCATTGGGATTTTGAGTAAACATTTATAAATCTAAAATTATTAGAATGAGTGATTAACAGAGTTTTTAGACAGACTCGATTGACGAACTCGGAATCAACGGGCGTATACGTGATCAACATGATCTCTCAATAGTACGTCTCTTTTTTGCTGCGGTAAATGGCTTTCTTACTTTAGTGCTTTAGTGGAATAGCCAAAGCATATTACAGATAATAAATCGTAAAAAATTAGTTATCACTATATAAAAACGAATAAAGGATATGCGCACGTTTGTGTGTACGTATGTATGTATGTCTGTATGTAAATGCAAGTACTTTCTATATTGTTTTGTTGAGATTTAAAAAATTCTTCTATCTATATTAAAAGTATGGAAAGTTCATATATTACTTGGAAATACATTAATTTCCAAGAAAACGTAGAGAAGATAATTTATATTTTTTTTCATGCTTTAATGTAGTAAATCCTGCGGAGCCAGAATTGTAAGAGTACTAAATAAAATAACCTACATATATTTTTTTCGTACCCATATTAATTTTTATAAAGCAAACGAATACTAAACGTTTACCAGTGTGAATTCCTATACGTAGTTTAAGTGTCTCGTGAGGCCTGTGTGCTATGGCGTGATGCTTAACGGCATTGAGCAATTCTAAAGACATAGAAGCTACTTCTCCAGCGTGTCTATTTCCGTTTTTGATTGGTAAGCCAGAAACCTGTAACATAACTTCGGTATGAATTTCACATTTTCATGTACAAATGCTTGTGGAGGATTAGGAAAAATTTAGTTTAACATTTTATTTATTATAATGAATAAAAAATAATATTTAATATAGAATATTGTAACGTTCGGAGAGATCGGGCGGAATCTCGTGGAGAGGGTATCCAACTTTGTCGTCCCCTCTCACTTGTGGAATCTTGAGACGATCAGCGCCACACCGAGCTCCCGAGTGGTCGGACTTTGATCTCCACGAGTTCTGGTACTGTGCTGAGAACTACTACGAGACCGAGGTTTTGAATAGAACCTCTTCCCAATCCTAGACTGTGCGGGAGTCACTTAGGGAACCTAGCCCCGCGGGTGTAAGCAATGCGCTTACCTCTTCAGCGGGTAATATTATGAAACTCCTAAAAATTCCAAATCTGAATAACTATTAGATTCCTTTCCTAGTTGAATACGCAAGGCGCGTGCTCAACATACGAAAGAAACAATAGTTCACTGTATCAAACCCCTTAAATAGAAATTATACGTTAAGAAGTCGAGTCTACGAACTTGACATGAAACCGATGTGTTACAAAATTGGCGCCCGAACAGGGACCCGATTAAGCGTAAGAAATAAATACGTTTGAGGGCGCATAAAAGTGTTTCGCGGATTTGAATATTCAGAGAAATTACATTATTTATGTGCGTTATTGGCTTTAGTATATTATTTTCAATAGTAATCGATCTGTGAGGTTTAGGTGAATGATGACCACGCAATTGTAAGAAAACATTGAGCGTCGAAAGTGACACACTTAAATTCTCGGAAAATTAAAAGGAAAATCACCTATTTTCGTAGAGTTTACAGTGAAATAAGAGAAATTTAGATAGATAGATCAGGATAGATAAAATCGTAATAGGTACGATTTTATCAAGTTCTTTTATTTATGATCATTTATTTATTAGCATCGTAAGGAATAGCGGATAAAGTTCAATTAGAACGGAGAATACAACAAAATTTGAATCAGAACCGAAATACGAACACTCGAAGATAAAGTATCATTGGAACAAAATAAAGCAATGTTATGAGGAGGGCTATAAGTCTAGCTATTGATATTGGTGTATCTTAGGTAGGCTAAACTCGTATGTACACAAACGCTACTACCTAAATATGATAAGATGAAAAGTTAAATTTCAAACTCTCGAGATTTTAGTACTAGTTTAGCTTTAATTTAATAATTTATTAATGTGCGTCAGAGTTGCATTATAAAAAATTTGCGAAAACACGTAGGTTAAATTATCTAGAAATTAGTTATGAGAAAGTTATGTAAATGAAAATGTGAACGTATCGAATCTCAATCTAACAATTTGAAGTCACTGAACTTTCACATCTCGAATCAAAGCAACTAGTTTAGAAATGAACTAGAATACGAGTCGTACATTGAATATGACGGCTGTTGTCAAATTTAAATACGAACACATGATTTAGTTTCGATTGCGGGTAACTAGTACCAGTTAACGAGTTTAAGTAAGAAGACTGGATAAAAAGTCAAACACTTCCCTGTAATTCTATTAAAATCGTAACGTTTACGAGTTAAATATTGTAACTATGGCAAGTAAAAGAAGGTCGCTGACTAAAATGTCAGAAATGACCAGCATTGACAAAGATGTAGACTCGTCACAACATGAAAGTAAACAGGAAGACTGGATAGAAACGACCACGGAAGAATTAAACTCATTATACAAATCGCAAAAAGGAACAAATCGGAATCTAAAAGAAATTTCAGATAAAATGTACGCATTTATGCAAAGCGCGAATGAAAGTATAAAGATTTTAAAAGAAGAGAACACGATTCTAAAAGCCAAAAATAATAAATTGCATAAAGATATGAGCGAATTGAATGAATTAGTAAATAATGACGATTTAATAGTGAAAGCCAAGTCAGACTTAATAAAGCAATTAGATGAAACTAGCCACGATATTTAGAAACAACTCGAAGAAATAAAAGATTCAGTTGCAAAAAACGATAGGACTAGTTACTGTAATAGTACTCTATTGGATACCAGTACAAAAATCAAGATACCGATACGGATATTCAAGGGGGCAGACAGCGAAAGGCCGATCAAGTTCCTAAATGATTAAGAAAAATATGTGGTTTTAAAGTAAATTTCGTCTACGGAGAGTATCGACTTAATATCCCAAGCGTTTGAAAGTGATGCAAAAAAGTGGTGGTATATAAACGAGTCAGATATAAACAATTACAAAGAGTTCAAGAAAGTTTTTAAGGAAAGATTCTGGAGTGCTGCAATACAGAGGCAAACTCGTCGCAAGGTAGAGTTTGGGTAATATTACCCAAACGGGAAACTAACTCGGGTAAATACGCGACAACTATTTTTGGATATGCGAAGAAGTTAGAATTAAGATTATGCGAAGAGGAACTAGCTGAGAAATTGTGCGACTACTTTGAGAAGGAGATTCGTCATGCGTTTGTGAGGTAATAAGTTAAGAACAAAAATACTTTATTTCAAATACTGGCGAACTACGACAACGATGATAAATATGCCGTAGACAGAAGACAAAATAGAGACGATAATAAAACCGAAAAAAAATTAGAAAACAAAGCCGATATAAATCCCTCAGTTCAGATGAAAAGGTTAACGAAAATAAACCATGGCAAAACAAAACTATAAATGCCTTTAAGATTCAAAAGGGTAAACCAAATAATCAAAGAAAAGAAAAATAAAGACCATCAGTCAACAAAAAACTAACTAAACAATCACATGAAGAAATCGATATATTAAAGGTGGATTTAAATAAAATTAGTCTTTCGGACACATCGGATTCGGACATTTAGGGGTAGGTGTGTGTAGTAATTCGGATGGAAATAAAAATATATCACAAGACACAACTGAAAATAAATTTCCAAATGAGGGTGAAATTGTATCTACAGCATTGGTCGATGTACATGATAATTTGACATACGATATCAACATTAAGGGGGAAGAGATCATTGAAGCTTAATGCCCGGAAGTAAAGATATCATTAAATGGCATATCTGTGCAAGCATTAACCCATTAACGCCGAAAAAGCCAAAAGTCTTAACTTTACTTTGCGTTTATTTTTGAAGTACTTAAACATCAAGAATATGTCTAAAAATGAGTTGTTTTATATTTTTTGAGTCGCTCTACAAGATTCTAAATTCAAAATGATGATTAGATTTCAAGAAAAAAAAATATGGCGACTTTTTTCGAAAAAAGCACTGAAAAATTTATAAAAATTATAAATTATAAATTTATAAAAATTAATTTTTCTATCAAAATAGCATGTTTTTATTCAACAAAAAAAGCAAAAGTTTGTACAAACACTTCAAACTTTCGAAATATGACCTATAAAAATTAAAAATTCTAAAATGTACGTCTTAAAATGGCGGCGAAGTAGAAGTTTCTTTTTTAACTTCAGATGCGTTTTTCTCGAAAACTAAAGACTTTCGCGAAAAACTTCTAGGAACAAAAGTCTTAAAATTGGCCAAGAAATACTTCCAAATTTTTTCAGAATTTTTAGAGACATGTTTGAAAAATTGGATTTTCCGGATTTTCGAAAAAGTCGAAAATTATCTCAAACAAATCTGAAAAAATTTGGGAGTATTTCTTGGCCAATTTGAAGACTTTTTTGTTCCTAGAAATTTTTCGCGAAAGTCTCTAGTTTTCGAGAAAAACGCTTCTGAAGTTAAAAACGAAATTTCTACTTCGCCGCCATTTTGAGACGTACATTTTGGAATTTTTATTGTCATATTTGGAAAGTTTGAAATGTTTGTGTGAACTTATGCTCATTTTGAATAAAAATTGAATTAGTTTAATAAAAAAATGCTATTTTGATAGAAAAATTGATTTTTAAATTTTTCTCGACAAATTTTTCAGTGCTTTTTTCGAAAAAAATCGCCATATTTTTTTTTCTTGAAATCTAATAATCATTCTGACTTTAGAATCTTGTAGTGCGTACCCAAAAACATAAAGTAAGCCATTTTTAGACATATTCTTGATGTTTAAGTACTTCAAAAATATACGCAAAGTAAAGTTAAGATTTTTGGCTCTTTCGGCGTTAATGGGTTAATCGATACCGAAACCAAAGTATAAGCAATATCCGAAAAGTTTTATAATGACAACATAATGGAATTGTCAGCATGTCCAACCTTACTACTCTTTGGAAAATTTATCAAATCAGCTACCGGTAATAAATCAACAAGATTAAAGCTACAAGTAATGATACCAACGAAGATAAATAATTCATTTGTCCCGATAATGTACATAATCGTTCCGAAACTAATAAAAAATTGCATAATCACAATTGATACGCAAGAAAAGCTAGATATGATCATTGATACCAAGATAAAAAAATTAACAATCACAATAGATGATGTCACAGAAAAGCTACAGTATAACATAGACGACGAAATAAAAGCTTTCTTAAGCATAATCGAATGTAATAAAGACGAAAATGACCAAAAATTATATATGGCTGATTCCAATTCAAATCATGCAGAGCACTGGGTGACCGGTAACGAAACAACATCAAAATACTTGGATAATGTTCTAGGCCCAAAATAAGACGACCCCTATTTTTTCTTTTCCCCCCAAGATGCATAGGTGCATCAACAACGTACTTGAAAGATGCACTTTCAGAAAACAGACTAACAAAAAAAAAATATCGTATTCAATTTCAATCGATTTGCGCATGCTTATTTATCATCGGAATCGAATAAATCTTTTTTTATACGATAGAGAAATACAGAACCTTCAAATCTATGCATTAAAATAAATGCACTAATGCATTTCCGAGAAGATTATGCACTTTTTCCAAAAAAATGCATCTCATAAAAAACTCGATTTATTTAAAAAACCCCACTTTTTTTTGCGCTCATAATTTTTATGGAGATTCTCTGATACGCTACCTTCAATCCAGTATAGGTCCCATTTTCGGTTTCTACTTCGTTACTGAGAAAAAAAAATTTTTCAACTAGA